TGCAACCAGTCAGGATGCTCTTGATGGTGCAGCTGTAGACTTTTTTGAGAATCTGAGGACCCATGCCGAATCTTTTCAGTCCCCTGAGGGGGAATAGGCTTTGTCGTGCCCTCTTCACGACTGTCTTGGTGTGTTTGGACCATGATAGTTCGTTGGTGATGTGAACACCAAGGAACTTGAAGCTCTCAACCTGTTCCACTACAGCCCCGTCGATGAGAATGGGGGCGTGCTCAGTCCTCTTTTTTTTCCTGTAGTCCACAATCATCTCCTTTGTCTTGGTCACGTTGAGGGAGAGGTTGTTATCCTGGCACCACACGGCCAGGTCTCTGACCTCCTCCCTATAGGCTGTCTCATCGTTGTCAGTGATCAGGCCTACCACTGTTGTGTCGTCTGCAAACTTAATGATGGTGTTGGAGTTGTGCCTGGCCATGCAGTCATGGGTGAACAGGGAGTACAAGAGGGGACTGAGCACGCACCCCTGAGGGGCCCCCGTGTTGAGGATCAGTGTGGCAGATGTGTTGTTACCTACCCTTACCACCTGGGGGCGGCCCGTCAGGAAGTCCAGGATCCAGTTGCAGAGGGAGGTGTTTAGTCCCAGGATCCTTAGCTTAGTGATGAGCTTTGAGGGCACTATGGTGTTGAATGCTGAGCTGTAGTCAATGAATAGCATTCTCACGTAGGTGTTCCTCTTGTCCAGGTGGGAAAGGGCAGTGTGGAGTGCAATAGAGATTGCACCATCTGTGGATCTGTTGGGGCGGTATGCAAATTGGAGTGGGTCTAGGGTTTCTGGGATAATGGTGTTGATGTGAGCCATGACCAGCCTTTCAAAGCACTTCATGGCTACAGACGTCAGTGCTACGGGTCGGTAGTCATTTAGGCAGGTTATCTTAGTGTCCTTGGGCACGGGGACTATGGTGGTCTGCTTGAAACATGTTGGTATTACAGACTCGGTCAGGGACATGTTGAAAATGTCAGTGAAGACACTTGCCAGTTGGTCAGCACATGCTCGGAGTACACGTCCTGGTAATCCGTCTGGCCCTGCGGCCTTGTGAAAGTTGACCTGCTTAAAAGTCTTACTCACATCGGCTACGGAGAGCGTGATCACATAGTCATCCGGAACAGCTGGTGTTCTCATGCATGCTTCAGTGTTGCTTGCCTCGAAGCGAGCATAGAAGTGGTTTAGCTCATCTGGTAGGCTTGTGTCACTGGGAAGCTCGCGGCTGTGCTTCCCTTTGTAGTCTGTAATAGTTTTCAAGCCCTGCCACATCCGACGAGCGTCAGAGCCGGTGTAGTACGATTCAATCTTAGTCCTGTATTGACTCTTTGCCTCTTTGATGGTTCGTCGGAGGGCATAGCGGGATTTCTTATAAGCGTCCGGGTTAGAGTCCCGCTCCTTGAAAGCGGCAGCTCTACCCTTTAGCTCAGTGTGGATGTTGCCTGTAATCCATGGCTTCTGGTTGGGGTATGTACGTACGGTCACTGTGGGGACGACATCATCGATGCACTTATTGATGAAGCCAGTGACTGATGTGGTGTACTCCTCAATGCTATCTGAAGAAAAACAGTCCTGTAGCTTAGCATCTGCGTCATCTGACCACTTTTTTTTTAACCGAGTCACTGGTACTTCCTGCTTTAGTTTTTGCTTATAAGCAGGAATCAGGAGGATAGAGTTATGGTCAGATTTGCCAAATGGAGGGCGAGGGAGAGCTTTGTATGCGTCTCTGTGTGTGGAGTAAAGGTGGTCTAGAGTTTTTTTCCCTCTGGTTGCACATTTAACATGCTGGTAGAAATTAGGTAGAACGGATTTAAGTTTCCCTGCATTAAAGTCCCCGGCCACTAGGAGTGCTGCCTCTGGATGAGCGTTTTCCTGTTGACTTATGGCCTTATACAGCTCATTCAGTGCAATCTTAATTCCAGCATTGGTTTGTGGTGGTAAATAGACGGCTATGAAAAATATAGATGAAAACTCTCTCGGTAAATAGTGTGGTCTACAGCATATCATAAGATACCCTACCTCAGGTGAGAAAAACTTCGAGACTTCCTTAGTATTTGATTTTGTGCACCAGCTGTTGTTTACAAATATACACAGACCGCCACCCCTTGTCTTAACGGAGTCCGCCGTTCTATCCTGCCGATGTAGCGTATAGTCCGCTAGCTGTATGTTATCCATGTCGTCGTTCAGCCACGACTCGGTGAAACATAAGATATTACAGTTTTTAATGTCCCATTGCTAGGATAACCGTAATCTTAGGTCATCCAATTTATTCTCAAATGATTGAAGATTGGCTAATAGGATTGATGGGAGCGGCAGTTTACTCGCTCGCCGTCGGATCCTTACAAGGCACCCCGACCTACGTCCACGATATCTCAGTCTCTTCCTCATGCGAATTACGGGGATTTGGGCCTTGTCGGGTGTCTGTAGGATATCCTTTGCGGCCGCCTCGTTGAAGAAAAATTATTTGTCCAATACGAGGTGAGAAATCGCTGTCCTGATATCCAGAAGCTCTTTTTGGTTATAAGAGACCTTGGCAGAAACATTATGTACAAAATAAATTACAAATAACGCGGAAAAACACACATAATAGTACAATTGGTTAGAGGGCTGTAAAACGGCAGCCATCTTCTCCGGCGCCATTCTAGCCCCAAATGACAGATTTCCACGGGTCTAATATCCATTGCTCGTGTACCAAATAGGGCTATCTTCTGTATACCTCCCCTACCTTGTCACAACACAGCTGATTGGCACAAACGCATTAAGGAGGAAAGAAATTCCACAAATTAACTTTTAACATGGCACACCTGTTAATTGAAATGCATTCCAGGTGACTACCTCATGAAGCTGGTTGAGAGAATGCCAATAGTGTGCAAAGCTGTCATCAAGGCAAATGGTGGCTATTTTGAAGAATCTCAAATATTAAATATATTTTGATTTGTTTAACACTTTTTTGGTTACTACATGGTTCCATATGTGTTATTTCATAGTTTTGATGTCTTCACTATTTTTCTACAATGTAGAAAATAGTAAAAATAAAGAAAAACTCTTGAATGAGTAGGTGTGTCCAAACTTTTGACTGGTACTGTATACGGGTAAGAGTCTAGCTACATTTTCAGATATTATATGTTTCTAATTTTATCAGAAAGTCATTTTAATTGCAAGTTCAAGCGTACTGTTTGCTAGCTAGCGAACGTTAGATTGCTGGCTCGCTAGCTAACATTACGTGTATGACCTGTGTAGTAATATTATTCAAATCAGAAATCCATTTGCATTCTTAGTTATAGCCTAATGTTAGCTAGCTAACATTGAACCTGGTTGATTAGCTCTAGCTATCTGGACATTCGTACAGCTATGACAATGTTTGTATTGGTTTGTAGTAGTATGATTTGGGATTATGCCGGTTCATTGTTTAGCTAGCTAGCTACATTTCTAAACAAAAGACAAGACTACATGTCTAAACAAAACACTTCCCCAGATGATTACATCAAGTTAGCCAGGTGTGTCTGGGGGTGATCATGGCCATTTCATTCATGAACGTGTCTAGACAATAGTGGCTGGGGGGTGGTTATAGCATTTCCTTCACTTGACCCATCAATTTAGACAAGTGTGTCAGGTAAGCGTCATCTAATAATTATAAAATCAACGTTTTATTTTATTTGATATAGTGTGTGTTTACCAGAGACGGTAATGTGAAGAACAACATGACCTGCACCAAAGTCAGATTAGATATAGGCCAAGGACTAGATAAAGTGTATTTTTACCTGGAGTTTTTCCTTATTGTAGGCTACTACTTTCATCACTTTTAGTCTTGAAATCTTTCGTTGTTTACTAAACTAATCACTCAGTTTAGCACATGGCCTCACATGTGGATCTTTAAAGAGATGGGTGGGGCTTAAGAGGGTGTGAACGATACTGGATGGGTGTAGACAAAGAAGAGCTCTCCAGTTGGTGTACCAAAACATTCAAGGGCCATTTTCTCAAAAGTGGGGTTACAAATGTATCAACTTTCAAATCAGAATTACTTTCCCATTGTTCTTCAACTGTAGTGCATGATATACCATTTTCTAGCTCTGAGTCTCTACTTTTATCCCAATATAAAAAACAAAAATTCAAATTTTGCCTCATAAGATCGAATCGAGGTCCCTTATTTTTGTTGTCACAAAACTACCTCCATACTTTCATTCGTTTGTATGGATTACCTTCAGACGAGAGCAAAACGGAGAACACCATTGTGTTAGTGAGAGTCTCCCCTTTCCATAGAGGGGTCATATTTTAATCAGTCATTCAAACTTTGAGCTGTGAATCTCACGTGGATAAGGAAGAGCTGCATCTCCGTCTCAGCAATGCGTCGTCCGAGACACTGTCTGGGTCCGAACCCAAAGCCCAAGCTCCTGAAGTACTGGCTCTCTGTCCGCAGCCAGCGGGACGGGAGGTACTTCTCAGGTCTGGGGAACACACCTGGGTCTCTACCCATCGCATAGAGACCCAACTGGACCAGAGTCTAGAGAACACACCACATTACATACTGCCCTCCCAAACCATCTACCAAAGTCTCTGATCAAATGTAAATACAGTAGCTACTGTATTGTCATAGGTTGTCTCCTCTTACCCCAGAAGGTATGTGATAGTTCTGAATGACGATTTCCTCTGTAATGTATCTCTGTAAGCTGACTGCAACCGGATGAAGCCTGATGGACAGAAGAAGATGGTGATTTGACTTTCTTAATGCTTAACCAGTAGGTGGCCCCATTACAGGCATCTCAACAGATGAAGAGTATCGGTGTTCACCAAAGCAATATCTGAAATTCATATCTGAAAGTGATTATTGTGACTTGACTTCTAATGACTAACCAGTAGGTTGCACCATTGCAAAGACATAATTTTTAATGATCAGTGATGACATGATATATACTGTATACTGCTGGTGTGGGTTTATAATAACTGGTCTTGTAGTTATTGTCTTGTTAGGTAGTCATTGTAGTTAACATCAGCTCTCGTTTGTCAATCATCTTGTCTGTCTGTCTGACCTCAGAGTTTCCTTCAGCGCTCCTTTGACCAGCGGTATCATCTTCAGCATCTGTAGCATGTCTCCCTGGGTAGACTGTCTGGCCACAGCCACCTCAGCCCTCAACTCCTCCTGGAGGTCAGGGTGTCTGGCCAGCTCATACAGAGTCCACAGCAGGGTGATAGATGTCTGAAATACATTACAGAGTAGAATGCTATATGACCTCTAGAGGGTTGAAATACTGTTGGTTGTCTACCCTATCTGGTAGTTAACTAGTTAACTAATCAGTTGACTTGGACATAATAATATAATATAATATGCCATTTAGCAGACGCTTTTATCCAAAGCGACTTACAGTCATGCGTGCATACATTTTTGTGTATGGGTGGTCCCTGGGATCGAACCCACTACCTTGGCGTTACAAGCGCAGTGCTCTACCAGCTGAGCTACAGAGGACCACATCTCTCCTATAGCCTCACTGAACCAGGTCTAAACAACAGGAGAAAGTGATGTACGGTGTGATTACTGTTGGAAGTCGTTATCAAGTCGTTTGTTACCGTGTCTACCCCTCCAGCCATCAGTTCGGTGACGCTGGCCTTGATATCCTCTATAGACAGCTTGTCTAACATCAGGAGGCTGGCCAGGACTCCTGGATACTTCCCCTGGGTGGTGGTGTCCTGACGCATCGTCCTGTAGATGTTCTGGATGCAGCGGTCCGCTGGGGGGACATGTAATCAGGACAGTGTAACAGTGAACCAACATAGCTACTGATACAGACACAACACCAGCACAGTGTTAACTGTGATCTTAAATGCATCATACGGATCACAGACAACGTTCTTTGTCTTCTTCCTGGCTTCACTTTCTCTGGTGTTTCCCTAGCTAGATGACAGCCCTATCCCTTCCACTTGGCCCTTCCCCTTGGCCCTATCCCTTCCCACTGGCCCCATCCCTTCCCCCTGGCCCTAACCCTTCCCACTGGCCCTATCCCTTCCCACTGGCCCTATCCCTTCCCACTGGCCCTACCCTTCCCACTGTCCCTATCCTTCCCACAGTGGCCCTATCCGCTTCTCCCACTGGCCCTAACCCTTCCCACTGGCCCTATCCCTTCCCACGTGGGCCCTATCCCTCCCCACTGGCCGATCCCTTCCCACTGTCCCTAATCCCTTCCCACTGGCCCTAACCCTTCCCACTGGCCCTATCCCTTCCCACTGGCCCTAACCCTTCCCCCTGGCCCTATCCCTTCCCACTGGCCCTAACCCTTCCCACTGGCCCTATCCCTTCCCACGGCCCTATCCCTTCCCATGGCCCTATCCCTTCCAACTGGCCCGAACCCTTCCCCTGGCCCACCTTCCCACGGCCCTAACCCTTCCACTGGCCCTAACCCTTCCCACTGGCCCTAACCCTTCCCTTCCCACTGGCCCTATCCCTTCCCACTGGCCCTATCCCTTCCCACTGGCCCTAACCCTTCCCACTGGCCCTAACCCTTCCCCTTGGCCCAACCCCAACCCCTTGGCCCTAACACTTCCCCTTGGCCCTAACCCTTCCCCATGTTCCTAACCCTTCCCCTTGGCCCAACCCCTTGGCCCTAACAATTCCCCTTGGCCCAACCCCTTGGCCCTAACAATTCCCCTTGGCCCTAACCCTTCCCCATGTTCCTAACCCTTCCCCTTGGCCCAACCCCAACCCCTTGGCCCTAACACTTCCCCTTGGCCCTAAACTTTCCCCTTGGCCTTGATCCTTCCCTTTAGCCCAAATCTTTCCGCTTGGCACGAACCCTTCCCCTTGCCCTAATCCTTCAATGTTTGCTCCCTATCTCTTCTCCTTATAAATAAAAATATATAAATATGCCATTTAGCAGACGCTTTTATCCAAAGCGACTTACAGTCATGCGTGCATACATTTTTTTTTGTTGTGTATGGGTGGTCCCGGGGATCGAACCCACTACCTTGGCGTTACAAGCGCCGTGCTCTACCAGTTGAGCTACAGAGGACCACCTCCTTGGCCCTAACGCTTCCACTTGGTGATAACCCTTCCCCTTGGCCCGTACCCTTCAATGTTTGCTCCTTAACCCTTCCCCTTGGCCCGAACCCTTCAATGTCTGCTCCCTAACCCTTCACCTTCCCCTTGGCCCTAACCCTTCCCCTTGGCCCTAACCCTTCCATTTTTGGCCCAAGCTCTTCCCCTGGGCCCTAACCCTACAATGTTTGCTCCCTAAACTTTCCCCAAGGCCCTATCCCTTCACATTGGCCCTAACCCTTCAATGATTTCACCTTGGCCCTAACCCTTCCTCTTAGCCCAAATCTTTCCGCTTGGCATGAACCCTTCCCCTGGGCCCTAACCCTTCACCTTGGCCCTAACCATTCAATGTTTGCTCCCTAACCCTTCACCTTGGCCCTAATCCTTCAATGTTAGCTCCTTAACCCTTCCCCTTGGCCCTAACACTTCCCCTTGGCCCTAACACTTCAATTTATGGCCCTAACCCTTCTCCATGGCCCTCCCCTTGACCTTAAGCCTTCCGCCAGGCCCTAACCCTTCCCCTTGGCCCTAACACTTCCCCATGGCCCTAACCATTCCCATTGGCCTAACCATTCTCAGTGGCCCTTCCCCTTGACATTAAGCCTTCCTCTTGGCCCTAACCCTACCACTTGGCCCTAACCCTTCACATTGGCTTGAACCCTTCCCCGTGGCCCTTCCCCTTGGCCCTTCCCTTTGGCCCTAATCCTCCACCTTGGCCCTAACCATTCCCCTTGGCCCTAACACTTCATTGTTTGACCCTAACACTTATCCTTGGCCCTATCCCTCCCTTTTAGCCCTATCTTTTCCCCTTGGCCCTAACAATTCCCCTTGGCCCTAACCCTTCAATGCTTTCTCCCTATTTCTTCCATTTGGACCAAACCCTTCCCCTTGGCCCTAACTCTTCCCTTGATCCTAACCCTTAAATGTTTGCTCCCTAACCCTTCCCCTTGGTGCTATCTCTTCCCCTTGGCCCTAACCCTTCCCCGTGGCCCTTCCCCTTGACCTTAATCATTCCCCTTGGCCCTAACCCTTCCACTTGGCCCTAACCCTTCCACTTGGCCCTAACCCTTCCACTTGGCCCTAACCCTTCCACTTGGCCCTAACCCTTCCCCGTGGCCCTTCCCCTTGACCTTAAGCATTCCCCTTGGCCCTAACCCTTCCCCATGTTCCTAACCCTTCCACTTGGCCCTAACCCTTCCCCTTGGCCCTATCTCTTCCCCTTGGCCCTAACCCTTCAATGTTTGGCCCTAACCCTTCAATGTTTAGCCCTAACCCTTCCCCTTGTTCCTAACCCGTCCCCTTGTTCCTAACCCTTCCCCTGGTTCCTAACCCTTCCCCTGGTTCCTAACCCTTCCCCTGGTTCCTAACCCTTCCCATTGTTCCTAAGCCTTCCCCTTATCTCTTCCCCTTGGCCTTAACCCTTCAATATTTGGTCCCAACCCTTCCTCTTGGCTGTAACCCTTCCCCATCACCCAATCACTTCCCCTTGTTCCTAACCTTTCCCTTTGGCCCTAACCCTTCCCATTTGCCCTAACCCTTCCCTGTGGCCCTTGACCTTAAGCCTTCTCCTTGGCCCTAACCCTTCCACTTGGCCCTAACCCTTTAATGTTTGGCCCTAAGTCTCCCCCATGGCTCTAACCCTTCCCCTTGTTCCTAACCCTTCCCCTTGTTCCTAACCCTTCCCATTGGCCCCAACCCTTCCCCTTGTTCCTAACCCTTCCCATTGGCCCTAACCCTTCCTCTTGTTCCTAACCCTTCCCCTGGTTCCTAACCCTTCCCATTGTTCCTAAGCCTTCCCCTTATCTCTTCCCCTTGGCCTTAACCCTTCAATATTTGGTCCCAACCCTTCCTCTTGGCTGTAACCCTTCCCCATCACCCAATCACTTCCCCTTGTTCCTAACCTTTCCCTTTGGCCCTAACCCTTCCCATTTGCCCTAACCCTTCCCTGTGGCCCTTGACCTTAAGCCTTCTCCTTGGCCCTAACCCTTCCACTTGGCCCTAACCCTTTAATGTTTGGCCCTAAGTCTCCCCCATGGCTCTAACCCTTCCCCTTGTTCCTAACCCTTCCCCTTGTTCCTAACCCTTCCCATTGGCCCCAACCCTTCCCCTTGTTCCTAACCCTTCCCATTGGCCCTAACCCTTCCTCTTGTTCCTAACCCTTCCCCTGGTTCCTAACCCTTCCCATTGGCCCTAACCCTTCCCCTGGTTCCTAACCCTTCCCCTGGTTCCTAACCCTTCCCATTGGCCCTAACCCTTCCCCTTGTTCCTAACCCTTGGACCTAACCCTTCAATGTTTGCAGATATCACAGGGATATGCTGTGAGTGTTGTCCTACCCTGGTTGAAGATGCCATCCCAGGCCTCTACGTGATCTCTCCAGACCTTGGCTCCTACCCTCCTCAGCATGGCCGGGGGGATGTACAGCATGGGAGAGGTAGTCTTGAACATCAGAGAGATGCAGTCGATGAAGTGTTGGGCCTCAGGGTTGATGTAGTCCAACATTAGGCCCAGACGCTCCCCGTACAGAACAGAACCCACCGCTGGAGAGGAGAGAACACATTAGACACAGACATTCACATAACGCATCGAATCACTGAAGAGGAGAGAACACAGGTTAGACACAGATGCCTTCCGTACTGAACAGAACCCACCGCTTTACAGCACAGCACAGGTGAGACATTGCACAATACTGAACTTACTCTACATACAAAAACATCAGGTAAATATAGTATAATATACAGTAGAGTACAGTACATTACGCCAGCCTAAGACACCAGTTGTCATCGTTGATGGCCTATGACCTCTAAGGAGCGATGGGCCTAAGTAAGTAAGTAAGATATTAGCAGAAATGTAAGATGTTAACCTTACAGTACATGAGACAATCTGGGACTGGTATGAGTCAGTGTACAAAACGTGGTCATCAGAGGTTTCAAGACAGCCACAAGTAAATATTAGGGGAAACAGTCCAAACTAAAGCTTACATTCAAGAGCGTATTTGAAGAGTTCTTGAGAAAGGTCGGTGGTCCATTTGTCCTGTCCACTCCTTTCAATCTTCTTATGTACCCGGGCCACAAAGTCCTGTCCAACCTCATCCAACAGAGGAACAAAGTTCCCCAACACCTTGGGAGAGATCACCTCTCTGTTCAGAATCACCCTGTTGGAACGCCAGTCCTCCCCATTCCTACAGGGAGATAAACAGACCAAATCTTGTTGTGAATTGTTCTGTGTTGGAATGTCACCGAACTAGCAAGACTAAAACTACATTTCAACAACTAAATCTGTCAATAATGCCTGATTCACACTATAGGTCCACACCAAGCCGAGCTGTACTGGGCTGGCCTGGTTACCATCTACCACACTATAGGGCCACACCAAGCCGAGCTGTACTGGGCTGGCCTGGTTACCATCTACCACACTATAGGGCCACACCAAGCCGAGCTGTACTGGGCTGGCCTGGTTACCATCTACCACACTATAGGGCCACACCAAGCCGAGCTGTACTGGGCTGGCCTGGTTACCATCTACCACACTATAGGGCCACACCAAGCCGAGCTGTACTGGGCTGGCCTGGTTACCATCTACCATAGTATAGGGCCACACCAAGCCGAGCTGTACTGGGCTGGCCTGGTTACCATCTACCACACTATAGGGCCACACCAAGCCGAGCTGTACTGGGCTGGCCTGGTTACCATCTACCATAGTATAGGGCCACACCAAGCCGAGCTGTACTGGGCTGGCCTGGTTACCATCTACCACACTATAGGGCCACACCAAGCCGAGCTGTACTGGGCTGGCCTGGTTACCATCTACCATAGTATAGGGCCACACCAAGCCGAGCTGTACTAGGCTGGCCTGGTTACCATCTATCACACTATAGGGCCACACCAAGCCGAGCTGTACTGGGCTGGCCTGGTTACCATCTACCACACTATAGGGCCACACCAAACCGAGCTGTACTGGGCTGGCCTGGTTACCATCTACCATAGTATAGGGCCACACCAAGCCGAGCTGTACTGGGCTGGCCTGGTTACCATCTACCACACTATAGGGCCACACCAAGCCGAGCTGTACTGGGCTGGCCTGGTTACCATCTACCACACTATAGGGCCACACCAAGCCGAGCTGTACTGGGCTGGCCTGGTTACCATCTACCACACTATAGGGCCACACCAAGCCGAGCTGTACTGGGCTGGCCTGGTTACCATCTACCATAGTATAGGGCCACACCAAGCCGAGCTGTACTGGGCTGGCCTGGTTACCATCTACCACACTATAGGGCCACATCAAGCCGAGCTGTACTGGGCTGGCCTGGTTACCATCTAGCATAGTTGCTAGAAATGGCAATGTGAAAATATATCTGAGACGACACAGTAGAGTTTGGGTAAACCCTGATAGGTAAAGAGACTGTTGCCCAGGCTACAATACTGTAGTGTGAATAGTCAAAAAATCTCAAAAGAGGAAAGCTCATGACGACAAGGACATTGATTTGAAAGTCCTTACTTGAACAACCGTTTGACAGATATAACAGAACAGAACAGTGTACGTACTTGAGCAGGACTCCATACTTCCTGTTCCTGTAGTCTCTGTAGGACGTCCACGCCTCCACCGTTAACCTCTTGGGGTAGTGTCCCTCTGCCTTAAACAGGATGGCTGCATCGTCCGGCTTTATAATGTTCACACTATCATAGTAACCTATCTTCTCCCTGTCAGGCACAATGACAGAGAAACATCAAATCATGTTATTGTTACTTATGTTCAAACAGGTTATGTTAGTAAAACTCACTTATTTTTGTTTTGTTCACACTCATAGTAGCTTATCTTCTCCCTGCAAGACAATGTAGCATTTATAAACCGAATGGGCAGCAGACTGTACCTTTCTTACTATCAAACATAATTTGCAAGTAGAAATCCCATTCTAAATTGTTTTAATGATTATATATGGCTAGTGTCATATTGTATTTGTCTGATAGAACAGATTTCTCCCCTCAACAAAGCTAATGACATGATACAAGGTCAGAATTTAGTGTTTTGTCTGCAGCAACAGCAACAACTGCATTGTAGCATCATGTTGAAATGGGTTGTAGCCATACCTATGGTTCTCTCCATAGCTGAAGCTTTTAGTTGTGAATAATAATATTCATAATAATAATCATACAGAACTGGTATCACTGCTTCAGTACGCAATCCTTAATACTTTATTATAACTTTGTCTCCTCTGACCTCTTAACTGAATTACATTATTTTTTCTTACTGTAGGCTTTGATATCAAGCTATCAATGTGTATAATATCTAACAAGCGGGGAAAGAGTAGTGCAAAAAATATGAAGCGCTGATGGCATTCTGACAGTGACAGCAAACTTGGCTGCCCTCTGGAGGGGAGACAGACACACACCCCTCAGCGCTCTGCTGCGCTCTGCTGCGCTCTGCTAATGGAGGGGAGACAGACACACACCCCTCAGCGCTCTGCTGCTAATCTGCAGCTGTTTTGCAGTGAGAACATGCAGGGAGGGATTTTGCCAAAATCATCATCCGATCCGACTATCAACTGTCAACTTACAGATACAATTACGAATATGAGTATGACCATGTCAGAACAGCCCTACTACAGAGGACCATGTTCTACAGAGGACCATGTTCTACAGAGGACCATGTTCTACAGAGGACCCTGTTCTACAGAGGACCCTGTTCTACAGAGGACCATGTTCTACAGAGGACCATGTTCTACAGAGGACCATGTTCTACAGAGGACCATGTTCTACAGAGGACCATGTTCTACAGAGGACCCTGTTCTACAGAGAACCATGTTCTACAGAGGACCATGTTCTACTAACTGATATACAGAGGACCATGCACTGATCGACCACCTGTAATAATACAATTGCAGATCATATCATAATTAACCTCCTATCTCCTAATCTGTAAATGGGTGTGAGCGTATCGTACCTGTCTATGGGTCTGACGGTGTTGAAGTTGTACAGTCTCTTACCTGTAAATGGGTGTGACCGTATCGTACCTGTATATGGGTCCGAAGGTGTTGAAGTTTTGCACCATGAGTCTGTGGATGTTCCTGAATCCGTCTAGTTTCCAGAAACTGTAGAGATTGGCCAGTCCGTTTCTCCAGAGACCTGGGATCTCACTGAAGGCCTGGACCATACTGCTGTTGTCTGGGGACAGAGCCTGGCGCGCCACCGGCAAACTGGAGCTGTGGCGGGCACTGGGCAAGGGTAGTCCACACGCTGGAGACATAGGCAGAGCCAGGCAGCTGCGACACACACTCCACCTCACCATCATAGCAGCTCACCTCTTCCTCTGTCCGTCTCCCTTCCTCATCCGTCTCTATGCTCTCTCTCCGTCTACCGCTCCACTGTCTCTCCTCCCCTGTGTCCTTCAATGTTTCTTTCAGGGACAGCTTGTGTGTTGTGATGGTGTCAGCCTTTATATTCAGCCCCTCCCCTATGGCAAGTCAAGGCCTCCCTCACCCAGACCCAGTCTTCTGTTTACTGTGGGACTTTCTTAGAATGCTGAAATATCCATCCTCCTAACATAACATGTTATAGCTGGCTATTTAATTGTTGGACTGTGTGGAAGTTGAATAGTCTGTTTAATCTTGTTTCTAAGAAAATTAGCTGAGGTCACCTTCACCCCAAAAGTACTAAGTGGGTCGTTATTGAATTACGGTAGCATTTGGGCATGGCATTTTGGAAAAAATGAACTTTATTTTTCTAGATTTGTATTTATTGAAATGTATCTTTCCATTGTAAATAATATGGTAGCTTAATTACTTTAAATCATTTTTACCATTATGATAACATTGTGGCAACAGTAGGACTAGTAACACCAATTATGTTTACACCAATGAGGCATTTTAGGTAAATGAGGAGTTTATGAAATGGAGGCCACAGATTCTCAAATCTAAGGTCAACCTTCCTTGAAAAAGTGATATGATTAATCATTTTGCTTACAATGTTATTTCCTGTCAATTAAATTGACTAACACAAAGTGACACTTTGAATTTAGACACACCAAATTATCAATAAATCCTTGAATTTCTGACCTACTAAAAGGTTATTAGCTAATAATGTTATTGAATGTAGAGCCCTCCCCAGACAACAGTTTGCCGCTGGAGAGAACGCTCGAGGTCCTTGCACATCTTTGTAATCAGTGATTTTCAAGGCGGTAACACAGATGACATAAAACTGAGGGACAGAGAGAGATTATACTAGTAAAACTAACTGGTATTTTAATACCCTTCCTTGTTTTTATTGACCTATGCAATATATTAAATACTTTTGTTCACCATCTAGCATTCAAAATAATTAATAGATATCTCTAAATCCCCAAAACATGTCACTACACATCACCAGTGGGACAAGCCAATTTGCCCCCAGTAGATTCTACAATGCATACAAATAGATTTGTTGCAGTTTAAAGGACTTCCATGAGATTTATTATTAAATAATAGTTAAATAAAATGGAAAATGTATTATTTGTCATGTTGTTGTCATTTTAAAGTATTTTTACATGGTGCCAATGTCAAGAGACAACATTTACACCTGCAATTCAAGAATGACCCAAATGCCAAGTCAAAAATGTTTGAATTCTCACATTGCCCTGCAACTCATCTGAGTGTAATCTTTTAGATCATTGCGTTGATAGATCCTCATGTCCTAGCCCTGAGACCTTGGTAGTGTTTTCTCTCTAAACAGCTGTAGAGGAAGGCCGTAGAGGAGAGGGAGGCTACAGAAACACACCGTTCTAAGGTAAACAAAACTTAGAACACAAATTGCAATGAAATCTATCAACTTAAGAAAAACATGTCAACATTCAATACATTCTATATGATTAAAATCCAGAAATGTTAGTTTTTATATGATAAAACTTGCACAATAGAAATGTCAAGATAAAACAGATAAGAAACAGTAGACCACATCATAGTCACTGTTGGACTGAAACAAATGAAGAGAATCACATCTACAAAACAATGAATGGCAGGCTCAGCTGGTCCTTGCATCACGTGTCAAACTCATTCCATGAAGGGCAGAGCGTCTCCTCCCTTTTACTTGATTGATTAATTAAGGTCACTGATTAGTTAGGAAATCCCCTCACCTGGTTGTCTAGGTCTTAATTTATTAGTTAGGAACACCCCTCACCTGGTTGTCTAGGTCTTAATTGGACACAAATTGAAAGGAGAAACCAAAAACCAGCACACACTCGGCCCTCCATGAAATGAGTTTGACATCCCGGTCTTAGATGATCATATGAAAGGAGTTTGACATTCCGGTCTTAGACGATCATATGAAAGGAGTTTGATGAGTTCCTCCAGCTTCAGTCTTCAGGTCTCCCTGGACCTAGTCGTCATGTGGTGTAGACCACCAGGTCCTGGTCCTCTGGGGGAAACCAGACTGAACCCCTGCCTGAACACCCAGGGACTATACTTACAGACTGAACCCCTGCCTGGAACACCACGGGTACGATAATTACAGACTGAACCCCTGCCTGAACCACAGGGACTATAACTTACAGACGACCCCCTGCCTGAACACACAGGACTATATTACAGGACTGAAAACCCCTGCCTGAACACACAGGGACTATAATTACAGACTGAACCCCTGCCGGAAACACCAGGGACTATAATTACAGAACTGAACCCCTGACCTGAACACACAGGGACTATAATTGACAGACTGAACCCCTGCCTGACACCAAATGGGACCTATAATTACAGACTGAACCCTGCCTGAACACACAGGGGACTATAATTACAGACTGAAAACCCCTGCCTGAAACACACAGGGACTATAATTAACCGACTGAACCCCTGCCTGAACACACCAGGGACTATAATTACAGACTGAACCCTCTGCCCTGAACACACAGGGACTATAATTACAGACTGAACCCTGCCTGAAACACACAGGGACTATAATTACAGACTGAACCCCTGCCTGAACACACAGGGACTATAATACAGACTGAAACCCCTGCCTGAACACACAGGGACTATAATTACAGACTGAACCCTGCCTGAACACACAGGGACTATAATTACAGACTGAACCCCTGCCTGAACACACAGGGACTATAATTACAGACTGAACCCTGCCTGAACACACAGGGACTATAATTACAGACTGAACCCCTGCCTGAAACACACAGGGACTAAATTACAGACTGAACCCCTGCCTGAACACACAGGGACTATAATTACAGACTGAACCCCTGCCTGAACCATGGGCACTATAAACTTACAGACTGACCCTGCCTGAACACACAGGGACTATAATTACAGACTGAACCCCTGCCTGAACACACAGGGACTATAATTACAGACTGAACCCCCGCCTGAACACACAGGGACTATATTACAGACTGAACCCTGCCTGAACCACACGGACTATAATTACAGACTGAACCCCTGCCTGAACACACAGGGACTATAATACTAAGACTGAACCCCTGCCTGAACACACAGGGACTATAATTACAGACTGAACCCCTGCCTGAACACACAGTGGACTAAATTACAGACTGAACCCCTCTGAACACACAGGGACTATAATTACAGACTGAACCCCTGCTGAACACACAGGACTATAATTACAGACTGAAACCCCTGCCTGAACACACGGGACTATACTACAGACTGAACCCCCTCCTGAACACACCGGGACTATAATTACAGACTGAACCCTGCTGAACACACGGACTATAATACAGACTGAACCCCTGCCTGAACACACAGGGACTATAATTACAGACTGAACCCCTGCCTGAACACACAGGGACTATAATTACAGACTGAACCCCTTGCCTGAACACACAGGGACTATAATTACAAGACTGAACCCCTGCACTGAACACACAGGGACTATAATTACAGACTGAACCCCTGCCTGAACACACAGGGACTATAATTACAGATGAACCCCTGCTAACAAAGGGACTATAATTTCAGACTGAACCCCTGTGAACACACAGGGACATAATTACAGACTGAACCCCTGCCTGAAACACACAGGGACATAATTACAGACTGAACCCCTGCCTAACAAAGGGACTATAATTACAGACGAACCCCTGCCTGAACACACAGGGACTATAATTACAGACTGAACCCCTGCCTGAACACACAGGGACTATAATTACAGACTGAACCCCTCCTGAACACACAGGGACTATAATTACAGACCCGAACCCTGCCTGAACACACGGGACTATAATTAACAGACTGAACCCCCGCCTGAACACACAGGGACTATAATTACAACTGAACCCCTGCCTGAACACACAGGGACTATAATTACAGACTGAACCCTGCCTGAACACAAAAGGGACTATAAATTTCAGACTGAAAACCCCCGCCTGAACACACAGGGACTATAATTACAGACTGAACCCCTGCCTGAACACACAGGGGCTATAATTTCAGACTGAACCCACTGCCTGAACACACAGTGGACTATAATTACAGACTGAACCCTGCCTGAACACCAGGGACTATAATTACAAGACTGAACCCCCTGCCTGAACACACAGGGACTATAATTACAGAACTGAACCCCTGGAACCCCTTATTACAACTAACCCTCAAACAAGGGACTAAAAATTACAGACTGAACCCCTGCCTGAACACACAGGGACTATAATTACAGACTGAACCCCTGCCTGAACACACAGGGACTATAATTACAGACTGAACCCCTGCCTGAACACACAGGGACTATAATTACAGACTGAACCCCTGCCTGAACACACAGGGACTATAACTACAGACTGAACCCCTGCCTGAACACACAGGGACTATAATTACAGACTAACCCCTGAACACACGACTAACGACTGAACCCGCCTGAACACAGGGACTATAATTACAGACTGAACCCCTGCCTGAACACACAGGGACTATAATTACAGACTGAACCCCTGCCTGAACACACAGGGACTATAATTACAGACTGAACCCCTGCCTGAACACACAGGGACTATAATTACAGACTGAACCCCTGCCTGAACACACAGGGACTATAATTACAGACTGAACCCCTGCCTGAACACACAGGGACTATAATTACAGACTGAACCCCTGCCTGAACACACAGGGACTATAATTACAGACTGAACCCTGCCTGAACACACCAGGGACTATAACTACAGACTGAACCCCTGCCTGAACACACAGGGACTATAATTACAGACTGAACCCCTGCCTGAACACACAGGGACTATAACTACAGAGATGCAGCACTGACATGCAGCATGGATACCAACACCAAAGAAACAAAGCCAAC